CTACTAGAAGCTAAAATACCCAAGACATGGCTAGAGGCATATATCACTTTGATACCAAAAGAAGATGCAGACTTCACACATATAAAAAAATTTAGACCAATATCACTGTTGAATGTGGACTATAAAATCTTTGCAGTAATTATAGCGGAAAGATTGAAAAAGTTTTTAATGTAGTTCATCCATTCAGACCAAAATGAATTTTTGCCAAAAAGACAACTAAGGTACAACCTAAGGATAATCTTGGACATATTAGAATATTATAAGGTACATTCAGAGAAGCAAATGGGATTAATCTTTTTGGATGCCCAAAAAGCCTTTGATAATATGAATTGGCAATTTATGATACAGCAAATAAAAGCTATGGATTTTGGCAAAAACTTTATAAATGTAATTGAGACAATGTATAATGAACAAATAGCTAAAGTAATTGTAAATGGTGAACTGACGGATAATATTAATATAAAAAAGGCACAAGACAAGGATGTCCGCTTTCTCCATTGCTATTTATATTAACTCTGGAAGTATTAAATAAGAATGTGAGGAATGACCCAGAGATTAAAGGTACCAAAATAAAGGATGAGAGCTATAAACTATAAGCATTTGAAGACGATTTGGTGTTTATATTGGAAGACCCACTGGAAACAACATCGAGATTACTGGAGAAAATCGATGAATTTGGAAAAGTAGCGGGATTGAAGATAAATAAAGAAAAAACTAAAGTCATAGTGAACAACTTAACAGCCAAGCAAAAAAATCAACTCTCAAAGATGTCAGATTTACAAATAGTTTAAAAAGTCAAGTACCTTGGAATATACTTAACTGCCAGATGTGTAACTATAAAAGAAGATAATTATATGAAACTACTTAACCAAATATAAATAGACCTAGAAAAATGGAAAAACCTACAACTATCACTATTAGGAAGAATTGCAACAATCAAAATTAACATTTTGCCAAAGCTACTTTTTTTGTTTCAAACAGTGCCTGTGAAAATAGAGAAAAAAATACTTTGATGATCTAAATAAAGTGATACTAAAATATATTTGGCAAGGGAAGAAAGCCAGAATCAAATTAAAAATGCTTCAAGAATCCAAGGAAAATGGAGGATTTGGTTTACCGGACTAGACCTTATATTACCAATCATCTGTTCTAACCTGGCTGAAAGAATGGATTACCCTGAAAAACAAAAGACTTCTGTATTTAGAAGGGCATGATCTACAGTTGGGTTGGCATGCCTTTTTATGGTATCAGAAAGCTAAAACTCCTAGGTATTTTCAAAACCACTATACAGTGGTGCCCTGGAACCTATTATCACCTCTGGTGGACTTGTGATAAAGCAAAAAACTTTTGGAACAAAATACATACATGGCTTGTTAAAATAATTAAAAAGCATGTAGACTTTAGGCCAGAGCTCTTTCTGTTAGGTATAATACCAGAAAGTGTTGATAAACAAAATGTATATTTAATATTGTATATTTTAACAGCCGCGAAGATTATATATGCACAGTACTGGAAAAAGGAAGGAACACCTACAAATCAAGAAATAATTAAAAAGATACTGGACTGCACTGAAATGGATAGACTAACACTGAAAATCAAAGGAAAAGAAGATACAAAATATTATCAAACATGGGACTTGTTCTATCAATGGTTAGAAGGACGCTGTATAGATTAGAAGCATAATGTGTATGGTAGTTGTTTTACCAAATGAATATAAGCTGTACTCAGGTGGCACGATGTTAAATCAACATGGATGGATTTTATATAATAAAAAAATTCAAAAAAAAAGAAAGTTTCAGACGATGATAAAAATATAATAGAGCAGATGATTACAGATAGTACCCAGCTTGCTGGGGGGGCAATGTGTAGCCTGTATAATTAAAATTGTAAACCGCCCAGAGAGTGCTTGTAGCGCTATGGGGCGGTATATAAGTCCAAAAAAAAAAAGATAAGGAAATAGAGGAGGTTATAAATAATTTAAAGGTAGGAAAGACCCCTGGAACAGATGGATTAGGCCCAGAGTATTATAAAGTATTTAAAAAGATTCTCATACCAAAACTAAAAGAGTTATTTAATAAGATATTAAAGGGAGAAGAAATCCCACTCTCATGGAGAGAATCACTCATAGTTTTAATACTGAAACCAGATAAAAATCCTGCAAATATGGAAGCACATAGACCAATACCATTGATAAATCAGGATGCTAAGATATTTATGGCAATAATGGCAAAAAGATTGAATAGTTTTATGTGGAAATATATTGAAAAAGATCAAAATGGATTTATACTAGGTAGGCAAATGTCAGATTTAATGCGGAGGGTAATTAATTTAATGTACCTAGCAAAAGAAAGTAATTCTAAGGCGGGAGTAATATCGTTAGACATATTCAAAGCTTTTGACTCGGTGGAATGGGATTCGTTAAAGATATTAATTAGTTAATTAGGGTTTGGACCTAATTTCAATCAGATAATCCACCAACTTTATTCACAGAATATAGCCAAGGTAATAGTTAATGATGGTATAACAGAGACAATACACCTAGGCAAGGTTGCCCCTTATCTCCAGTATTATTTACAATGATAACTGAAATATTGGCACAGATAATTAGAGATGATAAAGAGATTAGAGGGACAGATAATAAAGAAAATGGTAAGATAAATTTATTTGCTGATGACACATTATTAATAGTTAAAAATCCAGCTGAAACAATTGAAAGACTTAAAATACATTTGAAGGAATTTGAGAGTTTAACGGGTTTAAGGGTAAACCACTCAGATGAAGAGAAAAGAAAAATGAAAATAATATTTGAAAGTAAAATTGGAAATGTGATGAAATATTTGGGGATTAATATCACTTGGAATTTACAAGAAATAATTAAAATAAATCTGGATAGATTAAAAACAGATAAGTGGAAGGATAAAGGAATATCAGAAACTAAAAATTTCATGGTTTGGTAGAATTGCATTATGTAAAATGAAAATAATTTCTAAATTGAACTTTATATTTTGGATGTCCAGCCTTCTAAGGGAAGGTGACATCAAAATAAAACCATTGGAAATTAGGCAGGTCTCTCTTTAGTTCCACGTGCTTTCATTACATTGTCTAGCTGTAGGGTCTCCTTTAATGACTGTTTCCAAGAGCTCTAAAATTGTGCTTGAATCTGAATGTAAACGAACATATTTTTAAACTCCATGGCAGTTCTAAAACTCCTGAGGGACAAGATACATTACCTATTATCTTTTCCATTTTGAATAGCAGAATAGCGATCTGTAGACCGTTCACAGACATAAGTGTTTCTTCTTGTCATGCTAGTTCCAGAAAACACATTATTCTAAAGAAAATGGGTACACACAGTTATAAATACAACTGAAAACATGATATAGTAAGAAAGCCTAAATAAATGGCACATTTATATGTACATGTTTAGTTTCTAATTGAAACTCACTGGTAAAAATGTTTACTTTATCTATTCTAACAAATATGCTAAAGTTTCACACCAGCATTCCCCAAATGCAACTTTTGTAGAGACACTGACTCTATAAAGAAAAAAAAATGTTAAGATTATAGCATGTCAGAACAAACAATAGAATGAACAATTACAGAAAAACAATTGAAAGAATGGCAGACAATGATAAATTGCTACTGTAATGGACATAAACGAGTGAGGATTAATAAAAAATTATGGTATGTTACACAACAAAAGGGAGGTCTTGGATTACCTAACATAAAACTATATTACATAGCGAATCATCTTAAACATATCCCAGACACAATCAAGGATAATAAAAACTTAATTTGGACAGATATTGAGATGGAGGGTATACAAGAAAGTGTGGAGAGATTATTGTTTAAAGAAAAAATTGGAGAAGAGATTAAAAAGATCAAAAATCCTTTCCTTAAAAATATGTTGGAAAATTGGAAAGAATTTAGAGGTGTATTGAGTCCACCGATCTCTCCTTTATCTCAGGTGGTGGAATTAAGGAACTTTCCGAAAAATTTAAAAAATCTAAAGAACACATTAAAAAGTAAAAAGATAAATAGATTAAAAGATTGGATAGAGAAGATAAGAGGAAAAGATGACATAAAAAGGTACTAAGAGGAGAAGGGATTTCCAATTAGAAAGGTGGACAAGTGAATGGTATACTAAAGAAGGGAAAGGTAGAAAAATGACAAAATTTGAAGAGATTATAGGAAAAAGATTGAAATCAGAGGAAAAGACAGAAAGAAAAGGAACTGTAAGCCAAATATATAAATTATTAATTCAAGTTTAACAGGGTATTCTAGGAGTAAAAACGCAATGGCAAAATGATTTGGATAAAGAAGCAATAGGAGAAGAATGGGATAAAATATGGGATCAGAGAATTATGAAGAACATGTCAGTAAGGATAAAAGAAAATTGCTATAAAGTAATATGGAGGTGGTATTTAATGCCGGTCAAAATGAATATAATGGATAAAAGTGTGTCAACATTATGTTGGAGCTGTAAAAAAGAGAAGGGGACATATTTACATATGTGGTGGCTATGTGAAAAAAGAAAGAAGGAATGGAATTTAATACAAGAAATATCTGAAATAATTGGATTGAATATTCAAATGTCTCCATTAATAGCCTTAGTGAATCTGATTAAGGAAGATCAATTGGTGAAAGAAAATAAAGATTTAATAGTAATAATGATTAGGGCAGCAAGGATAATTTTTGCAAGAAACTGGAGAAATGATAATCAATTTAACTTGGAGGAATGGTATAGAGAATTATGGGACATGGCTATTAATGATAAACTGACATGTGATATGAAAATAAGTAGAGGCAAGATGAAAAATAATGATTTTAAGAAAATATGGAATGTATTTTTGGAACATGTATTTCGGAGAGGGAGGAAACAATGAAATTTTGGAGTGAAAATCGATGGAACGAAATGTAATACTAGTCCTGAAGGTATTGGGAGCACATGGGTAATTGTATTTTGTTGTATTGTATTGTTTTGTATTTTATATAGGTTTTTTGTGTAGTAGTAGGTTTATTTTGTATTAATAAAAAAATATTTAAAAAATAAAAAAAGAAGCTAAGGTAGACTCAGTGTCCAGGGGTGCCTCCTTACAGCTGCGGAGAATATACCAACTTTGCCCTTACCTGGATGAGTGGACCCTGGCAACAGTCACACATGAATTCGTAACAAACAGACTGGACTATTGCAATGCGCTATACGTGGGACAGCCTTTGAAGATTATCCGGCAACTGGCACTGAACCAGGCTGCACAGCTGGTTAAGTGGTGCCGCTGCATGGACTCATATCACACTGGTTCTGAAAAATTTACACTGGCTGCTGGTTACTGCTCAGGCCCAATTCAAAGTGCTTACTTTGACATATAAATCCCTAAATGGCTTAGGACCTGGTTACCTAAAGGACAGCCTTCTTCCATACAAGCCTCCTGTACTCTAAGATCAGGTCAGGAGACCCTTCTGAAGGTGTCATCCCTGAAAGAGTTGAGGGAGATGACATGTCAAAACAGGGCCATCTCGGCTATTGCCCCCCCATCTTTGGAACACTCCCCCCTATAGAGATCCACCTGGCTCCGACACTTTTGGTTTTTCGGTGCCAGGCAAAGACCTTTCTGTTTAGTCAGCATTTTAATTAAATAGTATAATTTAGCTGGCCATATGAGCAGCAGGATTTATTAATAATAAATTGACTGTTTTAATATTGGGTATTATTATAATATTGAGTATTTTTAATGTTGTTCTGAAGTTTTAATATTGTTGTACACCGCTCAGAGACCATTGGTAATGGCGCGGCTAAAAAATCTTGTAAATAAATTAAATTAAATTTTAAAAAACTTGGATTGAACCTTCTGCAGGCCATTAAACTGTGGTCTCTTTCTCAAGGCCGCCCACTTGGCTCCTGCAAACAACACAATTGACCTAAAATACTGAAAGGCATAAAATACGTTCCAATATTTACAGTACTCTTTTTATTAGTGATACCACAGTTACTGAAAACAATGGTGGGATATAAATTCAATAAACAAAAAAAACATAAACAGATTTTGCCAAAAGCAAGGCCAAATGATCAATATAAGATTAGTACACATACTCAACTTTACATACTGTATCACCACTGATTTCTATTATTTGTGCTTTGTGAATGTACCTATATTATGCAGCACTGATCTGAATATTTTGCCTGTGAATAATTTAATAAATGAAAAGACATCATTTTAGTAGTAGCAGCGGCAAAAAGACTTTCTATGAAAAATATGTATCTGTGGAATGACAACAAATTCAGGATACAATTCTAGAATCCAGGTAGTGTCATAAAGTTCCATATAGCTCAGGATGTTTTTCAGTGCATTTAGAGTTGAAGAAGCTTCAATAATAGTTGCTACGTGACCTCTCCCAAGTCTATTGTTACATCAACAGGCATGTCCTAAGATCAGAACCTGTACGTAATTATAAGTCCACCTCTCAGAACTGACCAGTCAGACTGAAATTACAACTCTTATCTGCTTAATCCCTTGCTCACATGTGCAACAGCTGTTATTTCCACAGGACACTAAAACCTCTGCTAAGCAGAGCACACATGATCTGAAACCCATTTAAGTTAGTAAACTGAATTTAACAGGACTGGCTTGAGTTCAAATGGGAATAAGTGCTTTGTAGATCACAACCAGCATTTGATTAGTCACTCATGTGCTTCCGCCTGCCAAACCGGTATGTGCATGGAGAGGGGAGAATGGGAAACAGATACTCCACTACAGAATAAAAGACCCAGTAAATCAATAAATACGATATACTGTATATGTGTGCTCATTATCCCCAAACAGAATTAAAATTCTTTAATCTACAGAGGGACTGGCTATTTTCCCTGATCTCAAATCCAGAACCACTGACAGAACTTCTATGCCACCTTTCCTAAGCACATACAGAAAAGGAACAGAAAATTAACTCTTTCAGCACCTTCCTTTTGCATGTTACAGAATGGCTGAAACATAGGTGAACAACAGAGGTCCTCCAGATATTATTGGATTGCAAATCACATCAGTCCTGGCCAGCACAAGCAGTGGTGAGAAATGATGGGAACTGCAATTGATCTAACCATATCTGGAGAGTGACTGTTATATCTATACTGGGGCAATCATCATATATACTGTACTGGGGCAATCATCTCTGTTTCTCAGTCTCAAACATGAAAATACAAGTGACTCTGAAGCCACCCCTTTCCACCATCGTCTGAATTCACAAATAAACTGATTTCATTTAGGGCTCTCTACAAAAGCTACATGCCCATATGCCTATGCCACTTCACCCTATCTATGAGCAGAAGTGTGTGTCACATATTCTGGCTCGATCAGGCAGTCCCACCCAAGCATCAGTTTATTTTATACCCTTAGTCAACTTGAAGAGGGAAAAAAGAAAGAAACACCCAGCGGCTCAGGTGCCTTTAAATTTTCCCCTTTATATGGGGTTCTGTAGTTGGCAATAAGTTTAGAGGCGTTCCCTAGTATGTCGAGGGCGGGGAGAATTCAGCCTTCTCAAGGGTGGGAACCTCTCGCTCTCCCGGTAAGTTCCGCCGTTATTCAGAGGTTTGCTTCCCCGCCCCCCCCGGAAAGCTGCAGGTACAAAGGAGAGGGAAACGATGGAGAGGGTTTTTAAACAGTGAGGCGATTCCTACCTTTGGGGCGGCCGGCCTGGCAATCCCTTGTCCCACGACCATATTTAACCTAGACAAGAAAAAGCAGAAAGGAGGGTCAAACTGCGAGAGCCGCGCTGCCCCAGACTTTTCACTGCTCCGGCCTCAGCAACAGGAGGACGGCCTACCTGTTCATGGCCTCGCCCGGCTCCCTGGGCTCGCTCTCACCGCGCCCGAAGAAAAACGCGGGTTCTTTCGCCGGCCTCTCGGGGGGTGGGGTGGGGCACGGAGCGCTCACAGGCCCATCCCGCCACAACGTCACCATAGCAACCGTCCACGCAGAGCCGACCGGAACAGGCCGGCTGGGAACGCTGGGCTGGCGCACGAAGGTTCCCCCTTTCCTCCGCCGCTGTCCGTTCCTTTCCCCCTCCCCTCTGCGCGCTCTCTCAACAGGGCGCGAGTGGTTGTGTCAAAGTTTCCTGAGGTGGAGAGGCATGAAAAAGAAAGCCGAGAAACTTCAAGTCGTGTTTCTCCACGGTTTGTCCTCATAAGTAGAGGTGGTCCCGGTGGAGATGTGCCTGGATGGAGGCAAGGAGCCCCCCACACACACACGCTCTGGCCGTCCGATCCTAAATGTGTGTGTTAATAGTGTAAACCCAAAGAGATGCGTTATGTTGGACTGGCGCCTGCAGACGAATTGTGCTGATACACCACTACGTATTCAGTGTTGCTCCCCGCTCGCTCCCCCCACTACCCCCATTTCTACACTCTTGGAAGAGATCGCCACACAGAGACAACCCCCACGCACCGCTGTTGCGGCAGTGCAGCCTCTGGGAGGTCCCTGTGTCGGGACTTTTGGATTAGCAACCGATGACACCATCACACACACACACCCCTGCAACAGCCTCGTTGTCCTCTGTAGGCTTGGTTTTAAAGCTCCCGGTCGCAGGGGTGATGGGGGGGGCGGGGTAGGTTTTTACAGCCAGTAATATTTTGGTAGGTGAAGGATGTTTATTCCTCAAAATCACGAGGGGTGGCTTACTCTTCAAGGAACAATTAAAATCCATTAGCTTTACAAAAGACATCGTTGCAGAGATGGACTTTGGTGGGATGGCTTAAAAACGAACCATTTGTTAGCGATTGTTATAAGCAAAATAAGTACCAGTGTCTCAAGTTCTCCTAGAATCTCAAGCTCCTTCCACTTCCCGTAATTGACATGGGTTGTTTTCTTATTAAAACTGAAGGAAGGTGGAAGGTGGTGCTGTTTAGCTTCAACAAGACCTACTTTGTGATGCTAATCATTTTATCAAATGTATCTGAAGTTTGATTTAAAAGTAGCTATATTTGCAACTTTCTTGCCTTCTTATCATTTGCAACACTCTAACAAATATCTGGGACATCTTCAGTTGTTCTGTGTCCAGTTCTTCAGTGCCTTCAAGAGGTGTACTTATTCATTGGTATGTGCGGGCAAAAAGTTATATCTTCCAAAACACATACTTATACTGTATTCAGTGATAGAAAAAGAACATGAAACTGTAGCTGTGTTTGCATGTAGCTGGAAATACGTACCAGGAAATCTAACTCAAAAGTGGAAACGATTTGTCCTCAACAGAATAATGAGAACATCCTAATTTAGAGGAATGGTATAGAGAATTATGGGATATGGCAATTAATGATAAACTGACATGTGATATGAAAAGAAGAGGTTTATAAAAAACATGATTTTAAGAAAACATGGAGTGTATTTCTGGAATATGTATTTCAGAGAAGGAAGGGGTATACACCGAGGGAAGAAACAATGAATTTTTGGAGAGAAAATGGATTGAATGAAATTTGAAAATATTATGAATACCAGCCCTGAGGGTGAAGGTGACACTGGTGTATTATGTAATTGTATATTGTTGTGATGGTAGGTTCATGTTGTCTACGTTTGATGTTCTTTTTAATTAAAAAGAAGAAGAATGAGAAAATGACATCCAACAAGTTGATCTCCTAAACAGCATTTAGAAAATCAGGTAAAGTGGGTTCTTATAAGGCACGTGGACCAGGAAAGAGCAGAAAATATTTTAACACATACAAAAATACCAGTACAAAATGTTCTACTCAAAAGCATTTTGGGAAAAAAAAATCTCTTTTTCAAGAGACTATTTCACTCATTGACTTTTAAAGGATGCTGGGGTGCTTGTCTTCTGAGCAGTTTGTGAAACTCCAAGGCATAGATGTTTCCAGACAGAGGATTCAATATGCAATTGACATATTTTGTTAACTAACTTTTTGGGGGTGTATGAGATGCAATATTGTCATGGAATCAAAAACGTTTAGTGTTTTCTGTGTTCTTTTTCTTTTTCTATGTCATAAAATGTCCAAGGATTGGTTTTTTTTGCTTTTGTTGTTGGTTTTTGAGGAGCAGAAAAGTAGTGTTCTCTCTGCCAGTGTCCACCACCCTTTTGCCTTTTGCAAGAGGTGCAGTTTTGAGGTAAGCGTTCTTTTTGAGCTTGTTAAGGTACTCCCCCTGCTTTGTTTTTGTTAGGCGCTTGGTGCTCATTCTGCTTCTTGTGTCACTTTTGTGATCAATTTCTTACACCCCTGGGGCTGCTCAGCTGGACTGCTTTGTGCAGCTGACTTTGTAGGTATATATATATGTGCTTAGCTGTGACCTACAGTATTAGATCCTCTTTTGGAAAAAATCTTAATACTCACTTTTGGCATTTGGGTTAATGGCAGGCTGATGAAAGATGTCAATGTTGGGATAACTAATGGGTGTTAGCGGTCTTGAGTATTGCCCTCAGACACTCTAATCCCTCAAAACAAAATATACCAATGACTTCATTGTATTGTTTCCCATTTTATAGTTTTGCTGGCTGCTAGCTACAGCCCCTCCATGTCAATACCAGTCTCTTTTTGACAGTACAACGCTCTGGACAATCCGACACACACAGAGACATTAGAAAGGTAAAAAATATATTGTTTGGTCTCAAGACAATTCTCCTTCTCCCCTTTCTGTATATGCAGAAAGGGGAGAACGAGAATGAAAACAGATTTTTATGTTATCTTGTGTATCAAGCGATGGGAATGATAACATTGTTCAGATAAAGAATGATATTGGTCCAACAGTTTCAAGACTGACACCTAATCTAAATCACTGTACTTCCTGTAATAAATGAGGTATACCTTCTTGGCTATAATTTATTTCAAAGTAAGTGTCTCTGTCCTTCCCTCCCTTCCCCACCATCTTTTATTAGCCTATCCAAATTATAGTACTGTAGTTTAAGAGAAAATGACCATGAGAAAACCTATAAAAATGCACCTAAGAAATAAAATGCAATCAGGTTACATCTCCTTAGATCCCTTCCTGCTTAGATTGTAGACTCAAACTTGGAAGGAACTCGGCAGGTTATCTCTAAATAATTCCCCTGCAAATGTAGGAAAGTTACTGCTATCAGATCCCTGCCAGTTAGCCATTCAAGATTCTGCTGAAAAATCACTTATCAAGGAGAATCCTCCATCTTCTGTGGCCATTCCTACTGCTGAACCAATGACACCATCAGAATGTTCTTGTGTCTAGCCGCCTAGAGTGGTCGAAATGACTAGATAGGCGGGGTATAAATACAATAAATAAATAAAATAAATAAATGTTCCTCATTACGTTCAGCTCAGTCCTTTTTCTTGCAATTTAACACATTGGTTTGGCTCCTACCTTCTCTAACAATCGTTTCACATAGTTGAAGGGAGATGTCATGTTGCCCGCAAATTGCTTCCTCTCCAAGCTTAATATGCTCAGCTTCCTCCACGCACTCCCTGTGTCTCTAGCCCCCTTCTTCCCCAGCTTTTTCGCCTTTCTCTGCACTCAATAAGTGCAGAGAAAGGTACTCCTGTTTGTCAATATGTTTCTTCCACTTTGGTGGGCAGGAGTGTATGTAAGATGAGAACAGAACTATATTACAAATAATATTTGTGATCTGTTCACGACATGTCTATTAATGTTCAGAAATCCATTAGCCTTGTTAACTGCCAGATCACAAATTCACTGTGATCAGCTGAAACCTCTGGGCCCTTCCTGATGAACATTTGAAAATTGTAATACCTACAATCCAATGCAGAATTAAGAACATTACATCTCATTGTAATACTAGGTTAAAGGGCCTTAATTTGGGTGCTAATTAGGCCAAGCGAAGCCGCCGCTTTAGGTGAGCAAATGGAGTTGGCATATCATGGACAAGGCCCCATCCCAGCCATCACCCTCCCATCCTGACCATCATCCGGCCACCTCCTGTCCTTGCTGCTTTCACCACAGCATGGCCCGGAGGGTGGAGAATGGAGGGTTCTCACAGTGCAGCCGATGCCTGTACTCCTCCTGCTGCTCCGTCACATATACTTGGGACACTCTATCTGAAGAACCCTGTGCTTTTTTCTTCCTAGGAAACTGACCCTGCTCAGTGGTTCTGTCCATCTCCCTTTTCTGTTATACAGCCGAGAGTTTTTTTCCCCCATCCACTTGTTATATAATACAAATTAAGAAAGCAGTCTGTTTTAGGCTTTGGGGTGATGCAAAATCCTTTTTCTCCAGTGCTGTGTGGGGATGGTGGTGGAATAGAGAGATTCCATGTTGGAGAATTCTATTACAGCTATACCTGAATAAGGCCAAATGCCTTATTGTAAATGAAGTGGGGGTGGGGAGAAACAAAGGAACCTGAGCCCTCTGCTCTTACCATGCATACCTTCCATTGGTGTGCAGCTGTTGATACCTGTCTTCTTGGACAATGTGCCCAATACCATGTCCCTACGGCCAGTGCCGAAACCTCTGACCATTCCTGACAGAATAGTTTGCCTCTGTGTAGTGATCAGGAAAGAGCTCACCTGCCAGTGACCTTACAAGATGAAAATGTATTGTGCAGAGATCATATCCAGAACATGAAATTATCGAATCCAATTGCAAGTTTATAGAATTGTTTCAACAAAGTTACTTATTTTTCAAGGCGTGATTCATAGAGAACCACGTTGAAGAACCTAATTTATCTTTCTCTTTCTTGCTTTCTCCTTTATCTTTCTCCCATTCTATGTTTATGCCAAGCCTCATGAATAAAAACCTAATTTATCTTTCCCTTTCTTGCTTTATCCTTTATCTTTCTCCCATTTTTATGGGGTCTCCCCAAGACAAACTCACACAAAGTACAGATTCCAACATGAAATAATTATATACAAGAATTATATACTGCATTCTTTGTATTTTCTTATGAAGTCTTCCAAGGCTCCTGCCAGTTCCAATTTCTGGTATTGTGAAGTTATTTAATAAGCAAGACACTTCAAGGTATCAGTAAATCGAACACTGGTTGTTGTGGG